GCTTATATTAACCATGATTGATTGCTTATTACTGCTTTTCCCTTACTGTTAAGTGGATGATTGTACTGAAAATCTAAAAGTGTTATCCTGAGTGACTGGTTTTATATAAATAGGAATGACTCAGGTAGAGGCTCAACAACCATACTGAGAGTAAGGGGAGTGTATTCGCCAACAACAGGCTTATTCCTGGAACCCTGAAAGTTTAAGTGCCATAAGATGGTGGTGGTCCTTCTTTAGGAACTCAAATCTGTCTATATGAGAGCAGCTTGGGGTGAATGAGTCAGGCTAGGAAGTCAATATAGGGGTCCATGCAGGCAGGCATCTCATGCAGGTATTATACCATGATTGACAATTCCAACATGTCTTAGTTTGAGTAGAGTTCTCTGGCCAAAGCACTAAAGCTCTTAATCTCCTGACTTTCATACTTATATGTAGTTAATGAACTGATTCTATGCTCCCAGTGGTCTAGAACATCCCATATACTTTTTTTCAAACCGTGTGCATTCACTAGGGGAACTAATAAATACATGCACCTTTGTAGAGGCCAACACTGATATCTGGAATGTACTTCCTCCTCACCACCACCTGGTAGTATCCTCCTTTCAAAGATTATTTCAAACACCACCCCTTACATGAGGGCTATTCTAAGTCCCTCCTGACCCCTCAGTTATGAGTGTCCTCTCTATCCCTCAGTATTATTTTGTATTTATTTATCAAAGTACATGTTATTTCCACTATAGAATATAAACTCCTTAAGAACAGGAATAGTTTCAATCTTGTCTTTGTACCTCCCTGGCTTAGCATAGTGCTTCACACTTGTTGTTGTTGTTATTTAGTCATTTTAGTCGTGTCTGACTCTTCATGACCTCATTTGGGGTTTTCTTGGCAAAGATAATGGAGTGGTTTGCCATTTCCTTCTCCAGCTCATTATACAGATGAGCAAACTGAGGCAAACAGGTTTAAATGACTTGCCCAGGGTCACAGAGCTAGTTAAGTGTCTGAGGCTGGATCTGAATTCAGGTCTTCTTGACTCCAGGCCCAGCGCTTTATCTGTTCTTTGCTTCACACTAAGTAGCTACTTAATAAATACTTGTTGAATAAATAAATGAATGAATGTACCAGGTAGACATCAGCCTGTTCAGAGGTGCCATAATGGCACACTCATTCTGTATGTCCATGATAGAATACACTCAGTGTTTGATGAACCTAAAAAGAGCATTCTGCAGCAAACCTTCAATGCCTTTTCCAGACTGTTTCTGCTTTATGAATCATTTCTTCTACTAAAAACACACAACAAAGCCCAGATATGACAATTGAGAGCAAACTGCAATAATCACAACAGATTTCTTTACTATGTTCAGAGAGGCCTTATCTTAGCAAGCTCTGGAAGTTCTTCACACAAAGATGGGTATGAGCTAAGTGAGGGTGGCATGAGAAAAACTAAACTTGAGTGATTCTGCCACTGCCTTAATTTAAGGAGTTGCCTCTCAAATAGCAGCTGTTCTGGCTAATTGGGTTTACAGCAATGAGTGCAGTAGATGCCATTTTTCCGGTGCTGGCCAAGTGACAGCTTATCTCTACTCCTGACGTTCCAGTCTTCAAGTCGGCAGAAGGTATCCATGGGCTTCTGGGCAGAAGGTCACAGATCTGGCCACCTTCCAGGCCCAAATGAGCTAGTCAGCAGGAAACTTGGCCAGTTTGCCGAACCATTTTGGGTGAAATCCATGGGTGTGGAGATGTCTTTGTAATACCTCTTTTTCCTTCCCTTTCAGAACATGCATCTCAGATGCCAAGAACTCATTTTAAACAACCACAGGAGCTATTTTGGGTATTACTAAGGGCTGAGTTATGATAGTAGCAGAATGACTTAGTCCTTTAGGCTAATGGGTGACTCCTTCACATGGGGGAGGTAGTAGCTCTCAAGATACTTAACTGAGAGATTCAGAATGAACTCCCCAGATGAACATGACCAGGGACTATGAGACCAAAAGAGATATTACCTTCCAAAATATTCTAGTCAGTTTTACAGTAATTCCAGAGATCAACTTCATTGATCAGAGATCATGCTTCATTTTTAAGTAAAGATGTAAAGGAGATAGGAAAAAGTGAAGGCCCTTTACCTACAAGGGAAGCCAAGAAGTGCTGAACTTTCTGTTCAGACATGAGGTCCTGGGTGTTCCAGTTATGGCCTGGTTCTGCTTCTCAGAAAGATCAGCAGGTGGAAGGCAATAGACAAAAGCAAAGAATAAAAACAGCCTTTTACAAATGTACTAAAATAATAATTGCTAGCATTTATGTAGCATTTTAAGGCTTGCAAAACACTTATTTTATCCTCACATCAACCCTCTGAGTTAAGTGTAATTATAATTCCCATATTTTGGATGGGAAAATGAAGGCAGACAGATGTTAAGTGATTTGCCCAGTAAGTATCTGAGGTTGATCTTGAACTCTGATCTTCCTGACTCCAGACCCAGTGCTCTGTCCACTGCACCACCTAGCTGTCCCAAGACATACAACTTTGAGACAAATCATTTAATCTTTATGAATTTGGAGATTCTTGCACTATCTCCCTTCTTCATAGGGTTATTGTGAGGAAGGCTCTTTGGAATAGTCATGATGTGGAAGGTACCTACAGGATAGCATAGTGAAAAGAACACTGCTTTGGTGTTAACAGACTGAGTTTGAGCTCTGGCCCTAGCACTTATTAGCAGAGTGGCACTGGCTACTTACCTCAATTTTCTCATCCAAAACATGGGAATAAATATAGCTGCATAATAGGGACTCATCGTATTACTGTTAAGGAGAGGTATCTCAGCTTCAGTGATGCTCTACACAAAATAAATAAAAACATAATAGAATGTAGATAATGTTAATATGTGGTTTTTTAAGTCAGCATGTGGCCTGCTGAAATCCTTATGTATGGTTTTGTGGCCCCTGTTTCTATTTGAATTTGATATTCCTGTTCTAGTGCACACAATAGCTGTTCATTAAAGGAAGCATCAGGACATCGGAATTCTTGGGGGGCTTTGTGCCTAGACGCAGATATTATTGCATTAGGGGCATGAGCTTGGCAGAGGAAAAAAAAGGACACAGAAATGCTGGCAGTCCAGACAGAGCTAAAGCCAATTCAGCCTTAATGGGCTGCAACAGACTTTCCTGTTCAATGATTGCATGCTGAGAGGAATTAGAGAACCCTTCACAGAGAGTTTTCTCACCCCATTCACTCATACATTTTCCTTTGGAGGATTCTTCCCCATCTTCCACTTTGGAAAACATTATAGATTGCACCCATTTGTATGTTAGAATAATTCTACTGCATGGTTCCTTCTTGTCATTTACTTTGTTTTAATGTCTAATTATATTAAATTTAGACTGTAATCTCTTGAGGGCAGCGACTGTCTTTTGCCTCTGTGTATCCCCAGTGCTTAACACAGTGTTTGCCATATAGTAGGTCCTTAATAAGCATTTATTGATTGATTGTTTGATTAAATGCATTTGTTCTCGGATCAACGTCTTTTGCATGGTTTGAAAATGGACAGTGTTTTGCTAGTTGGGACTCAGGCTGTGATGTATAAATTGATCATCTCAAACAGCCCCCACTAACCTGGGAAATGTTGCAAAGGTCTCCAGAGCAGATTTTTCAGAATTTTCAGGGGCCTGGTGTTTAATTTGCTTCACGGGATTGTAATGTGCTTTGAAAGCCTGAAATTACTACATAAACATGAGTTACTGATCTTTTTCATTCACTCACTAATAATAAAATAAATGCAAATCAAAATAACTCTGAGGTTTTACCTCATACCCAGCAATTTGGTAAAGAAGACAAAAAAGAGGAATTGTCAGTGTTGGAGAGGTTGTGTAAAGAAGGGTACGTTGTGGTACTGTTGGCAGATTGTAAATTGGTCTAACCATTTTAAAAAGCAATTTGGAATTTTTCAAAGGAAATGACTAAAATGTACATGTTGTATGGCCCAGTGATTCTACTGCTAGGCAAATATCTCAAGGAGGTCAATAATTAAAAATAAAAAAGACTCCTTTCCCTCTTGTTCCCCCCCCCCCCCACTATACATCAAACTATTTATAAAACAGCACTTTTTGGAGTAGCAAAGAACTGGAAATATAGTAGATATCCATTGGTTGGGGAATGGTTAAACAAATTGTGGTAAATGAATGTAATGGAATATTACTGGGCAGTAAGAAACTGGGAATAGGGTGAATATATAGAATCATAGAAAGACTTATATGAACTGATGCAAAGTGAAGTAAGCAGAACCAGGAAAATAAAATGCAAAATTACTACAACAATGTAAACAGAAAGAACAGCAAAAAAGCAATTGAAACTCAATGCTGTGAGATTATGACCAACCTTGACCCCGCAGGAAAGCTAATTAGGAGGCATTTCCTTTCTGCCCTCACTGAGACAGGGGATTATGTGTGTGGAATAAATACTACAAAAAAAGGCCTGATTTTATAATGTGTTGGCTAGTTTTGCTGAAGTGTTTTTTTCCCCTTCTCTTTTAAACTTCTTTGTTATAAGGGATAGCTCCCTGGGAGGAGAGGGATGCATTTTTTAAAAAATTATTCATTAGTGTCTTCTTTAGAAATGGGTGAATTTCCCTTACAAGTCTTTTCCTTTTTTATTTTCTATAATCTGCTAACTCTGTATGAGTCTAGAAGCTAGAGGCTGTGGAATTTAGGGAGTGTTTATAGAAAGTAATAATGAGAGACACTAATAGAAAAAAAATCAGGCTGATTCTCAGGAATAAACATTCCCTACGGCGAGTGTCTTGTGGAAAGGGGTAAGATCGCAATTGCTTATTAAGGCTGTACTTAGGGCCTGATGCACACCATATGCAAAGCAGATGAGAAAATGCTGGAAGGAGAGGGGGCCACTGGCAGGAGTTGGGAATAATGGCTTCAAATGTCTGTTCTGTCTCCCCTAGCTCCCAGATTAGGAGATGTTGATTTTCTCTGCAATTTTTTTTAAAGAAACACATAAGCAAGGAACAAACATGACATTTATTTCTTACTCACATGGAAATTGTGTGGCATTTGCATGACAAAATCAGGGAGGGGGTTGTCCATGGGGCAGCATGCCCAGAGGTTCCAAAGGCTATTTTCTTAGACATGAGGACCTATCACTTTAATTGCAGGAAGCCTTCACACAGAGCATATTTAGCAATGAACAAATAGTGTGGTTGCTGACTTTCAAACAAATGAATGCACCAAAGTTCTTCAGCTATCTAGGAAGGTAATACTCAGTAAGAAAAGTAGTGTGTATCCCTCTTCAGAGGAATCTGGGGTTTGCTTTACATTTCAGAGGATTGCCAAGTATCCCAGAAAGCAGAAAGGTAATGCTTGCTTGGACAGAGAGAGGGAAAGAAAATCTTGCTGCGTAAATTTGAAGGTATACATATTGATGTCTATCTATGTGCCTCAGAGACCGGACTAGGCAGCCTCCCTGTATGGGCCTGGACAAGTTTTGGTGAGATCAAGCAACAGGATCTAACCTTGGTTGGAATTGGCAGAAAGAGTTAGGGACTGGCTTATACCTCCAGGGTCGTTTCCAATCTTTTGAGAGCAAGCTGTTGACCTGCAACCCACCAAATATTTCCTGGATGACCTGCTCCTCTATCTGCCTCATCTTACTCTCCAGATACTCTTCCTCACCTCCACCTCCTTCCCCAACTCCAGGAAAAAGTTCCTATTGTCTTCAGCTTCCATGGACAGTCATCTTTGACTCTCTCAACTGACTCAGTTCAACTGATCGAATCTCTGATCTGTCTATACTAACCTTCTCACTGTTGGGTTTTTTTTTCCCCCAAGATGGGCAGCTTCTATTCCCCACATGCCTCTTCTGCCCAAAAAGCTTTCCCTCCATCACGTTTACTAAACTTATTTCCCTTCATCAAGGACTTTTTGAAATCTTTTCCAGGAGCCTCGCTCTTGAATAAGATTATGGCTCTTCTCCCCCACTAAGCTCCCCTTAACACCAAAAAAAATTTGCAAATGGTTTTATAAAACCACAGCACTTGCTAAATATAAACCATTCCAACCAAACTTGTTAAGCCTCAAGCAAATCATACACCCATGCTCTAGATATACCACTGACCTGTCTACATAGGACTTAGATGGCATTGACCCTTACCCTGCCCACGCCCTCCTCACTTACACAGGTATGTACTCTCATCATCTCCCTGGCCCTGTTCTTTCCCACCCTCCTGCCTACCTGGCCCATTCTACTTTACCCAGGGGGTTCCTGCTTTTCTATCCACAGAGCAGGAGGTGCCCATCAGAAATGGTAGAATGAATGAGGCTGTTTGGAAATGCTCCAGAAGAGGGCAGAGCCATGAAGTCAAATGGACAGAGTCAAGGGTATGTTATAGGAGGTCATGGAATGAGGTGGAAGAGGCAGTGGGAGCAGGGAGCAGAATAGGCCTAGCAGGCCTCTGCTAGGCCTGTCCAAGAGTAATATAACAAGTGAAACCTACTGCTTGAGTGGGGGACTTAGTTTTGGGGAAGACAGAAAACAGTGGTGCTCAAAGCTGAAACAGTAGATGCTACAGTCTGGGAAATCAGAATCATATAGACAAGAGCTAAAGCAATATTAACATGTAGCTTAACATTCTCTGTCATTTTATAGGTGAGAAAACAGCCTGAGAGAACACTCTGTCTTCTTCCCTAGGTAATGTGGAAAATTTACAAGCTCACTATATGCAAAACCTGCCAGTTCTATTGTATATGTTTTAGGCCCACCCATGGATCTCTTGAGGGAGAGGACCAAGAATCAAGAGGGTGACTTGGAATTCTAAACATGAGGCAAAAGTATCACCCTTGATTTAGCATCTTAAATATGTAACCTTTGTGGAGGTTCAATTTGAGAAGGGAACTATGAGTGGAGAAACATATTTCAAGTGCTTAGAGGGTTGATGGGCCAATGATAGGTGACTGGTCAGCTCCAGTCCCCTTTTGAGTGCACAGCTTGGATTAGACTATGAGCCAAAGAACTATCTACAGCATCTCATTGTTCTGGGGAGCATTTTTCTGCAGAGCATTTCTATGTATGGAATTATAGATTGAGTGAGTTTAAAAGACAAGAGTGACCATTGCCCAGGAGGCAGGGGACATTATGGGAGCATGGATTCAAATCTGCTGTTGATTTCTAAGTCATACGGAGGATTGTCCAGTGAATGCCTATGAAAGTTGAAATGGCTATCCCATTCCCCAAATCAGCGAGATGCTTTAGCAAGCATCAGCCCTACCAAACTCATCCTGAACAACAGAATTGAAAGGGACATGAAAACCCTTGCCTTCCTCTAATTTTATTCTGTATATTTTCAAAAGTTAGAGGGCACAAAGATGGAGCTTGTCCCTCACCTCTACCTGATTTAGGGACTTCCATGGGTATCAAATGAAACTGCTCTCAGACTCAAGGCGCAGTTTCCAAAATGTTGAATGTAAAAGTCTTATAAATGAAGCTACTATTGGCTTAGCACAAATGCGAAAATTCTGCAGCCTATCACGTAGATGACACAACTGAAGCACATTTTAAAAATTGTGGGCAATAAATTTTTAACATGATATCAGAGTCTGACAATTGTAAGAGGTGGGCAACAGACAGACAGACAGGCAATCTCAGAGGGCACATCTCCGAAGGAATGAACTATTGCTCACACATCTGAGGAAAGCTGTCGTTCCCAGGGCCATGCCACCTTTTGGCTCAGGCAGATACGTAAGGTGGGGGGGGGCTCTTTACTTGCAACCATACCCCCACTCGAACCGGCACCCACACCTGCCTCTGCCCCTGCCCCTACACCCATTGCAGTTGCTGTGGAGGCTGTAGTGGTGTCATCGTAGGGTGGTAACAGCACCTGGGGAGGAAGAAGAAACAGAGGATAAAGTGAAAAAGTAAAAGCAAAAGAAACCCACCTACAATTGCTGAATTAATTGCAATTGTTCCATCGAAGTCAGTGAAAAAAAAATGTTAGGCTCATTGATCAAATCCAGTCTTATTAGCCGTACCTGATTCAATTCAATTTAGCAAACATTTATTAAATTCCTGCTATGTGCACGACATTGTTTTAGGTGCTGGGGATACGAAGGCAAAGTGAGAAAAAATTTTCTGCCTTCAGGGAGGTGCTATTCTTCTGGGAGATACAAAATATACATAGCTTGGTCAACACAAGATAATTTGAGAGTGAGAACATTGGCAATTAGGGAGATTAAGAAAAGATTTCCATAGGCAGCACCACCTGAGATGAGAAGCCAGTCAATAAGTCAGTTAAAAAACATTTATTAAGTGCCTATGGTGTGCCAGGATGGGGGCAGCGAGGTGGCACAGTGGATAGAGTGACAGGCCTGGAGTCAGGAAGACTCATCTTCCTGAGTTCAATTCTGGCCCTAGACACTAGCAGTGTGGCTATGGACAAGTCACTTAAACCTGTTTTGCCTCAATTTCCTCCTCTGTAAAAAGAGCTGGAAAAGGAAATGGCAAACCATTCCAGTATCACTGCAAAGAAAAACCCCAAAATGGGGTCATGAAGAGTCAGACATAACTGAAACAACTGAACAACAAGAAAAGAATAACTCTCAGTTTGCCTCCTATGTATGAGAGACAGTAACAGGGCCTAGATGGAAATGTAGGTAGGGGAACACCTGTGATGAGTTGATTCCCTCTTCCCCAGCCTACATGATGATAGATGATAAGTGAGGCCAGTGAAAGAGACAATAAGGCATTAGTCTGTTAAACAAAGTTACTATACTGCTACTGCTTTACAAAGTTGGAAATTCTCCTTCCCTTGATGTAATTAGAAAACAGTTAGTTATTGGCAAGTCGTGGATGTACCATACCCCTGTGGCCTTTGAAAAGCAGGATGTAGGTAGAGTCAGCGGCAGAGGAAAAACCCAGCCCTTGAGAGAGGATCCCTCTTTGTCTCTCTGCTGTTGCAGGGCAGCAGGGCAGCAGGGCAGGAGGTTAGGGCAAGATTTGTCCCTCTTCCGCCAAAAAGCCATGGCACTTTGCATTGCAGCTACTTGCCCATCATGAAACACAATACCCAGAGACAGTCATTTGAGGCAGCTCTGAGAAATGTGACCCTGATAGCAGAGATGACAGCTAGCTATGGATTTAAGAGACAGTGAGCTCTGGAAATTGAGGCAGAGCTGTGGAAAGGAGCAGGTGCTGGGAGCCCAGCTGAGTGATCCACTCAGCAAAGATGCTGTGTCCAGGGGCTATCAGAGTAAGATACCACAAGGAGAGAAAGGAATGGGGATCCTGCAGTGCCACAGGTATGGGTTGCTTTGGCTACATGCATTCTCCAAGTGTGTGCTTCATGCAGAGCTTATCTTCCCTACTAAGGTTGTGTTCATTTGTGGGAAAACATTCCCCAGGTTTAAGGGAGAAATATTTTATAGCTACTGTTTTTATTTGTACCATCTCAGTAAATGCCTTGGCTTTGAACTAATTGTATCTACTGGCTGACTGTTAAAGGTAAGAGTACTGGTGGGGGCTTATGAGCTATAGATTTGAAGTTTCTTGGATCTAAGGTGATAGTTGTAAGTCCATGTGGAAGAAGGAACCCCAGAGGAGACACAGCAGAAGGAAATGAAAAGGGTGGTGGGTCTGGGCCAGAAAAATAACATAAAGCAGCTTCATAAATCCTCACTTAGGGTGAGTTAATGATGGCTCCCAACATTAACAAGCTACTCAAATTTCTACCAAAGTACTTTCTTCACAGCAACTTTGTGATAATGGTTCTACAGGTATGGCTCACCCAGAATTCCACACCTACTATCAGAATTGGGATTCAAACTCAGGTCCTCTGAGGATTCCATATCTAATACTCTTCACTTCATGCCCACACAGGAATCAATCTCACAGACTGGAGTTGGGATGGTGAGGTGTAGATAACAGTTTTTGATGTCAGAGGACCTAGGTTCAAATCCTGGTTTCTATCACTTCCTATTTGTGTGACCAGGGACAAACTACTTAACATTTCTGGCCTTGAGTTTCCTCATTTATAAGACGAAGGGATTGGATATGACCAATAAGGACTCTTCCAGCTCTCTATTTCTAATCCTATGACTCATAGAGTATTAGAATTTGTTGATATTGTCTAGTTGTTTTCAGTTGTCTGACTCTTTGTGATCCCATTTGGGGTTTTCTTGGCAAAGATCCTGGAGTGGTTCGCCATTTCCTTCTCCAGCTCATTTTACAGATGAGGAAACTGAGACAAATGGGGTCAGGTGACTTACTCAGGATCACACAACTAGGAAGTGTCTGAGGTTGGATCTGAACTCAGGAAGATGAGTCTTCCTGACTCCAGGCCTGGCACTCTATCCACTGTGCCACCCATCTGTCCCACAGAACTGGAAGGGATGTAAAAGAAGGTAGTCCAATCCCTTTATCTTGCAGATAAATAACATGAGACCCTGAAAGTTAAAGTGCCTGGCCAAAGCCACATAGCTAGTTACGGAAAAGTTGGGACAAAAGCCAAAGTTTTTCAGTCCAATGTTGTTTACAATAGCAGGCCCATCCATGGCACTGAATTCATTCTGTAGTCCTCCCCAATCTCGTACTTCCAGGTCAGCCCTTGGAATATTACAGTTCCTGAATGATATTGCACTCCTGGGACTTCAGATTATGTCTATGGTCTGCCATTTTAATGCCTCCTTCTAGGTTACTTATATCCTGAAGGATGGTTATGTTTCTAGTTCTGTCTGGAATAATATTTATGGGTATTAACTGTGAGCCTCAGTTCCCTACTTTGTAAAAACAAAGGTTTGGGATGAGGTGACCTCCAAGATCCATTCCAGCTCCATTTAAATTAAGTATAGACTAAATGAAGCCGTACTTATCACAGAACCACTGACTCATTTCACTGGCAAGGAGAAATGGTTCTGTCATGGTGCCATTGACTCAACTTGACTTTAGATCTTAATTAACTTTCTGGAACATCCAACTTTATTTGTACCTGGCAGAGTCCAAGCCTCCTCCTAGTGCCAGACATATTTCTAAGACTAATGAATACCATATAAAGGCATTAATGTTGTTCCTGGCAACTGTCCTCTATCTGTTAAATTGTAAAGATCTTATCTATGGTACCACATTGCTTAGACTTTTACTAAAATTTTAGAAGCACATAATTGCACGTGAGCCACAGATACTAGAGCTATACCAGTTTGTGTTCAGGACTGAGTCTATGACCAAAGATGTTACCCCTATTGCAGAGCAGTGAGATGTCCTCAACACCAGCTTTCTAGATTTTCTTTAAAAAAAAAAAAAAAAAAAAACTATTAATGTCCTTTGTTTTTTGTACATCACAATTATTTTCTTGTATGCTCTATCCCAACCCTTAACCCTTCCCTGTAACTAAGAAGAACAGTTAAACAAAGCCTACTTAGGAGTTGGCTTTGTATTCAATATTCTGTACTGGTAGAGGATGGGAGTGTGTTTTATCTTCTGTCTTTCAAGACCAGGGCTAGGCTTTATATTAAGTCTGAGTTCAGCCACCTTTTAGTGCTGTTAATGTTTATACTACTATTGCCATTGTGCATTTTGTTCTTTTATTTTTGCTTTCCCCTTCTGTATCAGTTCATGTAAATCTCCCCATATTTTTCTGAATTTTATATTTTTGGTAAGATACTCCATTGAATCCATATACCACAATTTCTGTTAATTAGGAATCCAATTAATTTGGTAATTCCCCAATAAAAGGCATCCATATTGCTTCCAGTTTTTTCCTATCAAAAAGAATATTTTGATAGATTTCTGGCTTTGACCTCTTTGGGAACCTTGGATCAAATAGTATGAAGAGTTGAGTGACTTTTCTTGCTTATTTCTAAATTGTTTGCTGGAATAGTTGGATCAATTACCAGGTCTATGGGTAGTAGTGTGTCTTTCCAGCTTCCACCAACCTGTCCGATGCTATTCCCACATTTTATCTTATTTGACTTCCTTTTTTTTTTGAGAAGAGTGATAATAGGTGTTTTCTAAACAAGTGATTGAACTACATGACCTTCTGCTAAAGTCTTGCTTTAGTGTCTTACGGTGTGAAGATGACTTTGGGCCTTGAAGGTGATGCCAGAGGAACACAAACTCGTAGTTGTTGTTTGTCCTTCATGCTTGAAGAGGACCAAAATGACAAAATGATATCATGGTCAATGTACAGTGTGTCTGACTGTGGTTTATCAAACCAATATGATCTTGGAAAGTTCTACTACAGGTCGGGCACAAATAGTCCATATGACCATTTGGGAGGGAGCTGTCTCTAAATTTGCACATCTCACATTTCTCTTGGTAGGTACTGGAACAAGCTCTTGACAGGTACTACATGAAGAAGGCTTTTTAATACAGGTCCAGTGATAGATTGCAGTCTGTTTTCTCACAGTCAGCTTAGCAAAGTTCATAGTGTCTCATCATCAGGTCAGTCCCAGAGATTTAAATTTTCAGTCACAGGAACTTTCAAAGGGAGTCTACCAAGCCTGTAGAATATTGGTAAAGAGGGTGCTCATGCCAAAAAAACCAAATGGATGATTAAAGTACTGAAATAAGATGATGAGAAGCAGCATTTCTTATTTAGACAATATTTTCAAAGTACAAAAGGGTAATTTAATATTGTTCCTCAGTAGTAACCCTGTTTGCTTCAGTTTTCTCATCTGTAAATGAGCTGAAGAAGGAAATGGCAAACCATTCCAGTATCTTTGCCAAAAACACCCAAAATGGGGTCACAAAGAGTCAGATACAACTAAAAACAACTATGTGCCAGGCACTGTACCAGGTGCTTCAGAAACAAATGAATAATTCTTGCCATCAAAGATCTTATATTCATGACCTCTAAGATTCTTTCCAGAACTTAGCCTATAATGCTATGAACTACTGAAGCTCCAGATTCTTTCTCTCTACAGGGAAAGGAGGTAGCAAGTCTTCCAACATTCAAAATCCCTGCAAGTTTTGACTGGGAAAGGGCAAAAAGAAGTGTACTTTTCTAAATACAGGCTCTACTGGGTTTCTACCCCAGCTTAAGGTGAGCCCCTGGTGAGGAGGAAGGCACTCCTTTTCTGCCCTCTCTGTTTCCCACACACAGAATTAGAGAATTAGATGTGGTGATTGCTCATTACTGAAAATTCTGGTACTATCACACCAAAATTGCAATGTTGAGAGATGATGAATCTACATGTATCTACACGTATGTTTAGAGGACACATCCTAAAATACCATGAAACTTCTTTAAAACAGGAGTGAAACCAAGCCCCAAAATGGCAGGCCTGTGGGGAATACATCTCCCCCAAAAGCCTCTTGCCAAATGTTCAGTGAGAGTTGGACACCTAAATCTTATTTTAAAAATCACACTCTGCTACAAATTTGCATTGTAAAAATAAACTGCAGAAGTGAGTTTAGCAATTTGGAATTGTTTCTTGTCATTTAACAAACTTTAATTTAAAATCAACAGTTGCAACATTCAGATGGCGTGTTCTCTCCAAAATGTTCAATTATGTTTTAGTTTTTGTTCAAAAGTCAGGATGACTGAATTTTCCAAAAGAGAAAGCCTTTGAAACTCTCATTATATTTCATGAGTCTCATTCTGATATACATTATGTATTATCATCTGGATATAGTGGAAAGAGCTGTTGAGTAAGAGTCAGAAGAGATGGGCTGTAGCAGATGGGCTGCCACTAACTGGCTGTATGACTTTGGGCAAATCACTTCATTTATTTGGGCCTCAATTTCCTCATCTGTAAAATGGGGGTGATGGGCTACATGATTACTAAGATTCTGTCTGGCTCTATAGGATCATGTGATCATAGTGTCTAAAGTACCTTTCGATGGCATCTAGCTCAACCCCCTTCGTATCAGACCCTATGGATTGTGGATAGAGTGCTGGATCTAGAATTAATTCAAACCTGAGTTCACATACTGCCTCAAATACCTGTCAGATGGGTGACTGTGGGCAATCTACTTCATCTCTCTCAGTCTCAGTTTCTTCATCCATAAGTAGAAAACAAAAACCCCAAAAAGGTTTGAGGTACAACTTATATAATATATGTAAAGCACTTTTGTCAGCCTTAAAATGCTCAGTATTAACTGCCGTTATATTGCAAATAAGAAAACTGAGCCCCAAAGAGAAAGTTGCCTAAGATCACATAAGTAGTAAAAGTAACAGAGTGTGACTTTAACTTTGGAGTCCTTTGACTCCAAAATCTTGTGCTCTTATAGGAACACACACACACTCACTCACTCATTCATGCACACATATATATAGGTCCCAAAAGTCTTGGTGTAGTTTTAA